GACCAGGAAGGAAATAAAATAGAATATAGAAAATGCCTACAGTTGGGCCCTCATGCACCACATAAATCATCTGCTACATAAATACATAAATACCAAGCTATTCTCAAAAAAATAAAATGTGGATTCCATCTAAAGACCTATTTAGAATTCTCCTTTATTCTTTGAGAACTAGAATGCTGTCTTCTACCTCAGCATCTAAGCCTTTTCCCAGAAAACAATGATTTCACCACTGTACAAAAACTGAGATCTAAATGTAGCTGGTTTTAACCAATGCCACCAAATACTGCTCAAGTATTAAAATTGCAATAGGCCAGTGCAACTATATCTCCCTCAATATAACACCACCAAATCAATCAAAAAACCTCACAGAATCAGAGACTCAGCTTCAACTAACAAAAAAAAATCCCAGAAGTAGTAGCCTACCAGCCTTATGGGAAAAACACAAATGAGAGCACAAGGCCCTGAGTTCAAGTTCAGTACCTGCAAAAAAAGGAGGGGAGAAGGGAGGGAAGGATGGCAGAAAGGGAAGAGAAGGAAGGGAGGGGGAAAGAAGGAAATTGGCTAGAGCTAGGCATGATGACTCAAATTTAAAATCCTAGCTTCCTGAGACAAAGATGAGGGAAGTATGGTTAATGCTATCCCAGTCATAAAAGGTCCAAAGACTCAATGGTTGGAATGGTAGTGAGTCCCTGTTATTCCAGCCATAGGATAAACACATGGCTATGCACAGAGGCACATGCTTGTCATTACTAGTGACTCAGTGAAGCCTAAGTAGGAGGACAGAGCCCAGGCTGGAACAAGCATAGAGACTCTACTGCAAAAATAACTAAAAGACAAATGGGCAAGAAGTATACCTTAAGTGGTAGAATCTCTGCAATTGTAAGCATGAGGTCCTGAGTTTAAAAAAAAAAAAAAAAAGATGGTCCTGAGAAGGTAGCTCAGTGGTAGAGTGCTTGCCTTGCATATGTAAGGCCCTGGGTTCGATTTCTCAGCACCACATAAGCAGAAAATGCTGGAAGTGGGGCTGAGGCTCAAGTGGTAAAACGCTACGGCAGCTCCCAGGCCCAGAGTTTGGGCCCCATAACCAACAAAAAAAAAAAAAAAAAAACTAGGAAATTTTAACAAGGGAGTGTGAGAAAAAGAGGACTCTAGGTTTTTGTTGCAGTAGTTTTGCAAGTTTGCTTTACTGTTGCTCTCCCTAAGAATATGTAAAAATATAAAAAGGCCAACTAGAAATGTGAACAAGTAAGTCTCACAAGTCCAGAGCCCAGGTACAAGGACTAGTCTTCGTATAAACAGTCTCTTCCCTATATTGCTATTGGAGAAGGCAATGTTTTCTTGTCAGTGAGACCATGGGATTCTATTATTTCTGAAGCAGGTAGAAAAATCATCTGCTAAGAATAGACTATATAAATGGATAAGCAATTTGAAAGTGTTTTGTTTTTTTTAAACAGAGAGTAGTAGGTGCCAGTGGTTCAGAACTGTAACCCTAACTACTCAGCTACTCAAAGCCAGTCTGGGCTAGAAAGTCCCTGAGACTCTTGTCTCCTGTTAATGACTGGAAGTGGAACTATAGCTCAAGTGGGAGAGCACTAGCCTTCAGCAAAAAAGAGGCTCAGGGACAGCATCTAGGCCCTGACAGGTATATGCAAGCATGCACACATGCGCATGCCCTCCTTTCCCCCCTTTCCCCACACCACTAAGAATATATTCTGCAAATCAAAAATAATAAGGGAAACTCTAGAAGATCCCTTGATGGATTATTCAATTGAGAGTGCTGACCATGGCTTTAGAGGAACGTATCTACTAATTTTTCTCACTGGTCCTAGCAATCCAGAACCCAAACACTAGAAAATTAGAGTTGAGACCATGTTGTAAGCAGAGTTACAATATTCAGGTGGCTGAGGCAAGAGGATGATATGTTTAGAATAGTCTGGGCTACCCAGGTAGACTCATTTGCTAGCTGAGATCATCCAAGGCTGGATTTGCCACACAGATGCTATAGAAAAACAAATGGAATGATTGAGCACACTGGCACAAAAATGACTGAAGATGAGGGAATCTCTTACAGAGGTAAAGGAACATATATGGTGGTGGTGAGTGAATAAAGCAGAAGCTGAGACTTAGCAAAGAGTGGGAAGCATAAGCTCTAGAGTGAGGAAGTGGGTAAGTTTCAAGGTTGCTGCTCTATCAACCCAGTATCTCTAACAATATATGCACCCTCGTCCAGAGCTCCAGCTCTCTATCTGACTTTCTCCCTTTATCCCTCCTCATAGTACCCCTTTACCTATTCTCTAACCCTTCCTTCATCTCTGTAAATTGTCCCTTTATTAAAGTGTCCTCATTTGAACCACCTGGCATAAATTCTGACTCCTGCTGAGACTCTGATTTACATAGATAAACTCATATCACTTACATAGGACTTTCATAAAAATTAAGTAAAAGTCAAATAACCCTGGCTTTTTGTCTGTGTCTCAGTGAAATTACAATAGAATGAAAATTAAATACCAAGCCTTCTAAAACCTCTAAACTTAAAACTGGGGGGAAAAAAACTGAATCCAAACTCAGCCAGTCTAGCAAAAGGTAGCAAAACTAGCAGAAGCAAAGTGGAAGCATAACACATGTCAGGCACTATTCCTTAGTGAATGAAGTCTCACTATAACAGGAACCAATAAGGTCTAAAGCCCAGGTACAGGGATCCATCTAAGGAAGGTAAAACATCTTCTTGCCAGACACCAGTAGCTCATGTCTACAATCCTACTACTCAGGAGGCTAAGATCTGAGGCTCAAGGTTTGAAGCCAGCCCATACAGAAAAGTCTGTGAGACTCTTTATGTCTAATTGACCAGCAAAAAGTCAGAACTGGAGGCATGACTCAAGCAGTAGAGACCAGCCTTGAGCAAAAAAGCTGAGACAGCACCTCGGCTCTGAGTTCAAGCCCTAGTGCTGATAATAAATACACATACATACATAAATACATGCATGCAGAAACAAATAAATACATAAAGAAAATGTCTTCTCACATCAAGGTGTCCAGTGTTCTCTCCATTATTAGCATGAAAATTTCTGTGCATGGAAAATATTAAGTAAAATTCAAATCATGATAGAGACTGATTGGAATACATTGTATACATATGTGGAAATGTCACAATGAAAACCCCCTCACTGTATAACTAATGTACATTGATTTTTAAAAAATGAACCAAGCTGAATGGCTCACCTAAGTCTTAAATGCAATCAATAGTATTAAGTTAAAGAATGTCCAGGAAACTTTTAGCTGGCCTATTAAAATTCTGCAAATTTCACACACAGAGATAGACAAAATGCCAGGTGTCAGTGGCTCATGCCTGCAATCCTAGCTACTCAGGAGACTAAGATTTCAGGATCACAGTTCAGAGCCAAAGGGGTAGGAAAGTCCATAAGATTGGTATCTCCAATTAACTATCAAAAAGCCAAAAGTAGAGCTTTGTCTCAAATGGTAGGATACAAGCCTTAACTGAAAAAGCTAAGGTACAGTGTCCATGCCCCGAGTTCAAGTTCATGTCCTACCTGACTCAAAAACCTGGGCTTTGGATTTTTTTAATGAGTCCAGAAGATGAAAATCACCCGAGCCAACACAGAGAAATTTTGTCATGAAAGAAAAAGTAAATAAATCAAAGACGAATTAACACTAGAATATGTGAAAAAATAACTGAAAGACAATTTTGTAACCAATACTTCCTAAATATCTGGCTGCTTCTATATATCTCCTGTTTCACCCTCAAAAATTGAAGTCCTTTGCTAGAATGATGCTTTTGCAAAATGTTTGAGTACAAATTTCATTTACCCCAAGATTTACAAATAATGAACTCTCAAATATTTGAGGAATGAATGGAAATTCAATGTACCAGTGTAATAGGTAGTATTTTAGAAAGGTAATATTTCAAAATGATATCCAATATAGGAGATAAAATTCTTGCCAAGAAAAAGAGATTTTCTAAAATTTCCATGAGTTGGTCCTCTGTTTCCGTTTTAATAAGTTCCTACTTGATCAAACAGTAAATACCATTTAAGTACCAAGTGCACTTCTTTCTCTCAAAACCCTGTGAATCACCAACTTTTCTCACTCAGGTCATCCTTTGGAAGCTTTTGGCCTTTGTCATTAGTTACAAAAGCTGGGGCCAGCATGTACTTTTATATAAATTAATTAATTTTAAAAAATAATTACTGTATAGGTCGACATAATCTCAGCACTAGGTTGTTTTTTTCTCAATATAGGTGCACAAATGATTTAATTGAGCTGTGGGTAGTGCGTGTTCATGTGTGAACATAACATACATACGTATAAAGTTTTCCCTGTAAGTGTACTCATAGGTTCACTGGCATCAAACTTCATTTTCCCCCTACTTAATCAGTATGCTGGACTTTTACAGATTAAAAATGGCTTATTCCCATGCAAAGTCAAATTATTTCAATAAGTGTTTTCTTGAAATTAAGAAAATGCCTATTTACAAAATCTTGAGATACCAGGTCAGACGTCCACAGGCTGCAAAGAGGCGGATGTGCAGATCGGGGCCTCTTCTCAAGGTCTCCACGGGAGCTATGACACTGAGGGGCTACACGACCTCAGTCTCCTTACTTAAGCACCCTGGGTCGCCCTTTCCACGTCTGTAAAACGGCATCATTAGACGTGATCCACCCCTGATGAGGACTAAATTGGCCGGTGCGCCCCCAGGCTGAGAAGAGGGGCTGGCAAGTGCCTGGTGAGAGCCCCCACGTCCCTTTTTCTCAGGGAAACGCTCGCAGCTCACAGTGACAGCGGTGCAGACTAGCATTGGGGCTGCAGCGGCCTCCAGGTCGAGTCCGCAGCCGGGGCCCAGATGCAGCCCCGGGCAGGCGGAGCGCGGCTCCCCCTCGCCACTAAGGCCCGGAAACAATGCGCCTGCCACCCGCGGGCGCGCGCCGCCTCACCGTCCTGCCCTCGCTGGCCTTCGGCCAAGACCACCAGGCCCCTACACATACCTCCAAGCCTGTCTGCGGCGCCCACAACCGGCACCGACCGGGCCCAGCCGGTCTCGCCTAGAGCTCGGGCCGTGGCTCTGCAACCACCAGCGCCGCACTTCCGCCCACCCAGAGCGCCGATAGCGTGGATCCGCCAGCTAGTCGAGCGCCGAGTCCCAGATGAGCCGCGCCTCCTAGAGACAGGAAGGGATGGTTGAGGAGGGAAGGGGACCGGAGGAGAATCGTCTGCACTGGTCATAAGGCTGAACTGGGTCTGTGCACTGCGCCGGGCCCAAGAGGCACATTAAGGAGTGTACCGGTCAGGAAGGTGGGAGAGGCTGAGAGGCACCGGGCTGAGCCACCCGGACCCCGGACCCCTGCTCCAAACCGTACCCACGCAAGCTGACATTTTTGTTTTCCTGGACAGGCTTTGTGAACGTGTGCCGACTTTACAACCTCAAAGTGTTCACCACTTGCACCTTTCTTCCCGCGCCTCCAGATTTTTCAGAGGGTGTGAGATAACATATGCCTCTGGGGCCATAGTTCACAATTCCAGCTCAGAAAATCGCGCGTTTCCGGGACTGTATTGGATCAGGAGGTCCTCGTGGGTCAATAGAATGTTGGAGAGGTAGGCTGCACCTAGTTTGGACGTAGCACCAGATCAAGAGAGTTGCACAGGGTGAGAGGGCTGCACTGAATTCGAAGGCCTCAGTGAAGCACAAAAGGTCGATGAGTTCCCTTGATCAAACTCAGGTTAAAGGGTTACACCAGATTGGGACGCCCAGTGAAATTAGTAGGCCCCACATGACTAAGCTCTGTGGTTCCAGCTGAGGGCCTGAAAAGCAGGGTGATACACAAAGTTCAAAGAACCATGGAAAATACATAGGGACTTCTTGTCTATTGCCTGACCTCTGAGTGTTGACCTTAACCCATGAATTGGGGCACCATGCAGGCACTGGTGATAGCAAGATCAGTGAAGGAGGCACTTCCCCATGGCTCTCAACTGGGGATGACCATGGTATAGTAAGATTTCAACAGTTTAGGCAAGAAAGGATGGTGGTCAGCTTGAGGCAATCCAAGTCATAAACCCAGCTACATAGACCTTGGAAGTAGGAGGATTGATACCCAGGCCAGACAAAACCAAAAACACAAAACCCTACCTGAAAAAATAAAAAAGGTGTGGGTCAGGTGGTAGTCTACTTCCCTATTTAGTTCAAACCTAGTACTGCCATGAAAATAAATAAAAGGCTGGTGGTCTGCACTGGAGCATAAAGGGAGAAACTGGGAATCAAATTGGGAATTGTGACAAAATTGTCAAGACTTGGGGTTAGGAACATAAATAATGACAAGGTATTTATATTTAAGTACTGGAGCAATGGTTTCTTTACTAAGGCAGGAAAAATCAAAGGACCAAAAAATGCAGCCATCCAACAAAGGATGACATTCAGGGGCTCAGATCTGACAGGACCAAGGATCTAGATCATGTCCATGAACAAGCAACATGCAACACAGAAGTGCTAGTTGCAGGTGAGGGAATCTAGAGGGAAAATCAGGAGAAACACAATGAGATAATGGGAAAACCATAGGACTAACTGCAGCAATGTACCCCATTGCAAAACCTACCAACCCTCCTGAGAAGATCTGTTTTCTTCCCAGTAAAATATGATTGGACATCATCCTGAAGGTGGGTGCAACAGGGATAGGAGTAACATACAGTAGCAGAGACTGAAGTCTTCTGGGAACACTTGTCGTTTTCTTTGTGCTGAGGACACTGGAGCAGATTTTCTGAAAGTACAGGAGAAAAAGTTCATTCACTCAGAAGAAGTAAGCCACAAGCAGTCGCTTCTGGAGCTGATCCTGAATTGGTGGCACCCAGGGCAGTGCAAAGTCCCCATATATACTGTGCTCTAGTTGCCACCATCAAAGTCAAATACAAATCTGGTAAACATCTCTGGGTCATTCTCTGATGGAACCAGCCAACATTGCCATTATAAGCCCAGAACAACCTGTGCTTATTAGTGTAAGGTCCACCCAGGAAGGCCGTACAGATGCCTCCCACCCAACCTGTAGTATCTATGTTACCTAGGTAACTGGCACAGCTGTCTGGAAGCAGTAACCTCCCCTTCCCTGGGGTCATATCCTGAACTTTCCCCCCCTTATGTCTTCCATCCGACTTGGGAGGGTCCCCGGTTCTAAGGTCACATCCACATCAGGTGTGGCCACACTTCCTCCCACCTGGCCACACCTTCTCTCACCTGACCATACTTTCTCCCTGCCACTGCCCTAGATAAACGGGTAGACAGCAGCCCACCTCTTCAGCCATGGGGCTCCACCATGCATGGCAATTCTGGAAACAAACTTCTTTTTCCTGCCTGAATACTGTGTGGTATTTTCTTCATCAGCTACCTAATTTAAACCTAACAATATTCAGGAATCTTTAATAATGAATTGCACTCTTATTTGGAAAATATATTCTCGGAAAAACATATATAGCACAGATGTTTTTAGTCATGCAACTTAGAATGATTTTTGTCTCCTTTTATCCAGAGGATGTGTCAAAGTATTTCTTCAGTAGACAACAACTACACTATCCTTAAGACTGTTCATTTTAAAGACCAAGGGGAAAGCATTTAAAATTTGAATGAAGAGATTTAGCAACATAGTTCCAAAGGAAATAAAGTAAGAAATCTTTGGCAGCAGTGCACCCCTTCACAGTGAAACCAAACCCTTTGGGTCTCAATGACATGCCATTTCTCAGGTTAGGTGATCCTGCCATTTAGCTGGAATATATGGGTCTTGAAACCTCAGATTTCTCCTGGATTGAAAAAATAAAATAAATAATATCATATTCCTGAAACAAAAACACTCAGCAGAGGAAAGATATTCTTTTGTCATTATAACTGATGCTGTTTTCTTTCTTTTTCCATAAGTTTCTGATTCTAATTCTAAAACAAGCTTGCAAACATTGTGCAGTGCCTGCAGAAGTTGGTCGGAAATAAAAATCATTAAATCTAAAATTGTAATAGTAGCTGTTGGAGCAATTAAACATCATGGTGACTCGTACGTTCGATAAAACAGCCAAATGTCATTGAACTTAAGAGAAAAGAATGTTAAAACATGCAACCAGTTTGGAAAAACTAAAAGATGTGTCTATCTTTTCCTTAAATACTATTTTGTGTATCAACTTTAAAACAACACCTTAAATGTATTGCACTTCATGTATCCATCTGAAATAGACAATAATTAATAAATACTTTAGCCCTCAAAACAATAAGGATTTACCATATCTGAGTGATTCCTTTTACCAAAAGCTGTTTTAGTTATCCTTATAGTGTTGTTCTTAGTTAAGGAAGCCCTTTACCTCATTTCATTTTTACCTTCACTATAATTATCATGTGCTTCTTGCAAAAGTCTTTATGTGGATTTAACCATCTATGTTTTTTTATGGGCTTCAGAGCTCTGCAGAAGAAAAAGTCCTCAACACAGGCAAATGTCTCCAATCAGCTTTGCAGCAAAAAGAGCTCTGTGGCTTTTCTATTTGCTTGCAATTTGCATATTTTCATTAAAAATTGTAAATAAACCTTACTTCATAGAAGGGTATGGTGTTACAATCGTGGTACACCAACCATATGGTGATTGCTGCCATCCAGAGCAATGATGCAGATGTGTTTTGCACCTGTGTTTATATCTGGGCAGTTTTGGCAGTAGGTTGTGTCTGTAGGTGGTCCAAAAGGGAAAAGAGAAATTGAGGAAAGGCATTTACTGCCCGAGAGATCTAAGGGCCACAAAACCTGGAGAAAAGGAACAGGGGCAGTATGTGAAAACAACTTATCTTAGCAAACCACAAGAGCACTTTCCTGTCCCCGCCAGCCTTTCCCTGTGTTTCAGGGGGCAGTAATATTGTAATTCTGTGAAAAGAAATTCATATCTTTATGTTTTGATGAAAGATGTCTACCTGGACATAAAATAACATTTTAATTTGTTTTAAATTGCTAGTAGGTGAGTAATATTTGGGGAGGGGGAAAGCATTGTGTTTGTCTTTTGGAATTTTCCAAAATACAAAGGCTGTCTATAACTTATTTTCTGGAAACAAGGCCAGTTTTCATTTGGTCAGTAAAAACAATGATCACAGAAAGGGAACAGAAAATAACAACATATTTCTAGTTAATTCCATGGTCATAATAGAGTACCCTGTAAAGCTTGAGGCTCAGGGAAGTTTGCCCTGGATTCTATTTTGTAGCTCAATCCCTGAAAAACAGCATCCCACGTGGAGCAGAAATTTCAACCATGGTTTCATATTTACAGGGAAGTGTTGTGCAAAGTTTAGAGTCATGTCCATACTTCTTTATACTACTGTCCATAATGTCATCATGCACATGACTTGCTATTTGACTTTTGGTTCGTTCTCTCTCTCTCTCTCTCTTTCTCTCACCTCTTTTCTCTCTCCTCTCTCATTCAAATGACACGAGTTTTATCTGAGTTCTTTTATTGCTCAGTTGAGCCTCTGGTTCCCCACAAACCCAATAAAAGATTTAAACTCTTTAGAAGAGATTTTTCCTATTTCTATGTCTTTGAGAGCATCAAGGGTGATTTGTCTAGGGACTAATCTTAGTTTCCAAAGGCTCTGTCAGGCATCACTATGTATGTCTCTGCCACTTGCTCTTGCTCACCAAGGTTGTGTCCTAACCAGGTCATCATCAAGTACCTGTCCTGTCTATACAGGAAGCTGCCCTTTTTCCATATTCTGTGGTCTTAAGGGATAGGAGCACACATACAGAAAGAAAATTCCCAAGGAGTCCAATAGTTTAAAGTTTGGGCCTTTGTTTTTTCTGATTAAACATTTGTAACATAATAGTTTCAGTAGGAATTCATTTTTCACCCCTTGTGAGAAAAATAACACTAAAAAACAGCAAAACACAAAAAATAATGCAGCAAAATATATCCATAACCCCTGAAAGAAGTAAAAAGAATTTACCAACTGACTACTGATTAGAAGGAAAATCACATGAAAAAATCCAAAGCCCAGATTTTTGAGTCAGGTAGGACATGAACTTGAACTCAGGGCCTGGACACTGTGCCTTAGCTTTTTCAGTTAAGGCTGGTATCCTACCATTTGA